TTATGAATTGATTTTAATCTCTTTAAGTAAATACATTTGACAGTATTTGACTTTCTGTTATGTTCCAGCATCTTCTTGATTTAGAGAGCTACATGGAATTATTGTTCATTAGTTAATATACTTGTGGTGTTAACCATAGTTTGTTATTTGTTATTTTGTTTTAAGATGCACACCTATGTTTTCTTGGTGGCTTTAGACATTTATCTCGATCAAGAGGTTACCTCATTGAGGCCACATAGGTTGTCTGAGCGGAGTTTTGGTAGTTGTGGAAGCACCGCTGAGAGTCCGGGATGTGAGTATTGTAGAATGTAAAACCATAATACATATACTGGTTAAATTTCACTTTAATTTTGACAATTGTGTTTTATAGTGTTCACATGAACAAAAACTCTATCTGTGTGTTTTCTATAATGCACATGGTTGTTCGCTTGTTCCTCCTATAACTAAGTTTAGCCAATAACTAACAAGTATCCATTTACCGGTACATATTAGAGAATACAAACAACGTTGAGAGTCACATTGCCACTTACTTTTCATCGTCCTGTCTGTGTTACGATTTGTGTAACTGTAAATGCATTAATTATTCACAAAATTTTAATTTCGCTAGTTTCACTGATAATCCGCTATAACATTTAATTATTCACTAGGTTTTAATTTCGCTAGTTTCACTGATAATCCGCTATAACATTTAATTATTCACTAGGTTTTAATTTCGCTAGTTTCACTGATAATCCGCTATAACATTTAATTATTCACTAGGTTATAATTTCGCTAGTTTCACTGATAAACCGCTATAATATTTAATTATTCACTAGGTGTTAATTTCACTAGTTTCACTGATAATCCGCTATAATATTTAATTATTCACTAGGTGTTAATTTCGCTAGTTTCACTGATAATCCGCTATAACATTTAATTATTCACTAGGTGTTAATTTCGCTAGTTTCACTGATAATCCGCTATGACATTTAATTATTCACTAGGTTTTAATTTCGCTAGTTTCACTGATAATCCGCTATAACATTTATTTATTCACTAGGTTTTAATTTCGCTAGTTTCACTGATAATCCGCTATAACATTTAATTATTCACCAGGTTTTAATTTCGCTAGTTTCACTGATAATCCGCTATAACATTTAATCCACCTGTCAAATTACTATAAGAACACAGTGTCTCCAAACAAATATGTGAACTTAAAAAACCAGTGAATATGCTCAAAATAGTGAAATTGAATGTCAGTGAAAATGTATGGTTTTACAGTAGGTCTGGAGCAAATACTGGATTTGCTGTATTACAAGCACATCTCTAATAGAGGTTCATTAAATAAAAAGCATGTATTATATACAAGATCATTAAAATATGAATTATTTTTTTCATAGACACACTTCTGTTATAAAAATATAAATACGGTATACACATTTTGGGAGCAGAACTGTGAAGTTATTTCCTGATATCAATTATTTGTGGGGCTGGTTGATACAAGTGATATCATGGCCTAGTATAATTCATGAACTGAAGGTAGTGGATAATACAGCCCATGATGCCACTAGTGGCAACCAGGTCTAATGAATAAGTGACATCAGGACAAAGATAGACAAATTCAAAGTACTGTAAAATACTTTAATTACGCTTGGAATTAATTTTTGCTATTTTTGCTGAAAGAATGATTCAGTGAAAATAAAATCCAGTGAATATACCTTTTTTTCTATATTTTACATTCAACTCGTCAAAAATCAGTGAAAATAAATTCCATACAAAATACCCAAACGTCTTTTCAGTGAAATTTAATGCCAGCTAAAATAAAGTATTTCACAGTATACTGAATTACACTTATGAATCGTATGCTGATAAGGCATGGCGGTAAAGCTTGTCGGGGGAGACTTATTTGCAGTTAGGGTGTTGATGGTTATCGGTAATCACCAGAAATGTAACTCTTCCATTGATATTTTTACAGATTAATAAACTTTCATTCGAGATTGAGCTCGTGTCACTACACTAATTGTTATCCAATACATTTCTCCTATTGCTAGAATAAATATGATACCACCACATGATTTGTTTTTCTCTGCGTACTGTTCAAACGTGCATGCATAAAATGTTTAACGAGAATATTGTGACATTTAACATACCATACATTTACTAAATACATCGATGTTGGATGTTCCTAGTACATGTGTCATATTGGAAACATTTTTTTTTAAATTTTTTTTAGTTGGATCGGATGATGTAACAGTGAGTCAGAGTCTAGAAAGCTGTTCGTTGAAGTCTACAGATGTGGGTAGCGATGAAGATATACAACTAAAAAAAGGATTAAGCGATAATTTATTATCAGAACTTTCAGAAGCCGAACAAGCTAGTGTTTTGAGTATACCTGCCGCCAGCAATGAGGAAGATCTCAAATTGTTTGCAAGGTTTGTCTCATCTATCATGTCTGACTGTCATTGGATTTAATAGTTTGTTGTTGTGGATGTATATTTAGATTCATGTTGGTGGTTATTCAAATTACTCTTGTATGTTGTTAGCTGTAAATATTTTAACATTTATAAAATGTCGATTCAAATTCAATTGTGAAGTTGTGATTAGATATAAGGGCACTGCACTCTGTGTGTGAGACCGATTGCTCTTTGGACAACGCTAAGGTCATTTCAAAATTGCATTCATCCACACCAGTGACATCAAAAAGGAATGTTGTTTTTAGTTTTATCAAAATATTTATAAAATAACTATAAATCACATCCATTGGTGATAGGAAATGAGAGTAACAAGACACGCAAATATTATTTCGCATATCGCTATGAAGATGACACTATTTAGACACTATCATGGCTATATTTCTAATGACCACAAACAATAATAAAATGGTAGACAGTTGGCTACTCAGTATTTTACAAAAATGGAAGGTTGTAGACCACTACCCAAGATACTGCTCATGAGCAGTACAAATTGTACATTTCGCCTAGACATCCAAAATTGTAGTATTATGTACATGTATGTGCCAATACCTACATTTAAAGAAGATGTCCAGCATGCACCTAGAAACAGGAAGTGAGCACCCTCTAGTGGCCACTCTAGCAATAAAAACATACAGGTCAACATGAAAAAGGTTGGGTTACCAGAATTTTTTTTTTTATTTTTTATTTGGTCTAAGTATTTAAACCAGCTTAGAATAAACAGCTATAAAATTGCTACACTGAAAAGGTTTTTATTTTGTAATCTTATCGTTTTATAATTTATATAGTGTGCAGTTTTAATATTGATAACCCTTGATGATTTGTAGTGTAACTCACAACATATCATGTTCATCTTTTCTAGGCTATGCCCATACTTTCGTGGAAAACACCACCTGGAAGAGATCATGTATTATGAGAATCTCCGAAGGTCACAGCTGTTAACGTTGCTTGATAAATTCAGAGACGTACTCATCACATGTTCTCACCAAGATGCTGCCACAATAACCTACCAGGAATTCCTGTAGACTCCCTAGTGCACTGTCCACAATAACCTACCAGGAATTCCTGTAGACTCCCTCGTGCACTGTCCACAATAACCTACCAGGAATTCCTGTAGACTCCCTAGTGCACTGTCCACAATAACCTACCAGGAATTCCTGTAGACTCCCTCGTGCACTGTCCACAATAACCTACCAGGAATTCCTGTAGACTCCCTAGTGCACTGTCCACAATAACCTACCAGGAATTCCTGTAGACTCCCTAGTGCACTGTCCACAATAACCTACCAGGAATTCCTGTAGACTCCCTAGTGCACTGTCCACAATAACCTACCAGGAATTCTAGACTTCCTAGTACACTGTCTATAAAAACCTACCAAGAATTCTAGGCTCCCTAGTACACTGTTCACAATAACCTACCAGGAATTCCTGTAGACTCCCTAGTGCACTGTCCACAATAACCTACCAGGAATTCTAGACTTCCTAGTACACTGTCTATAAAAATCTACCAAGAATTCTAGGCTCCCTAGTACACTGTTCACAATAACCCAACATGAATTCATCTATATTCATCTACTACCTACCAGATATTTATTCACACCTTCTAGGAATTCATCTAGACTCCCTAGTACACTGTCCAAAATAACCTAACATGAATTCATCTATATTCATCTACTCCCTACCAGATATTTATTCACACTTTCTAGGAATTCATCTAGACTCCCTAGTACACTGTCCATAGTAACTTACAAGAACTTACTTACTCCCTAGTACACTGTCCACAATCACCTACCAGGAATTCTTCTAGATTCATTCTTCTAGTAATAATATTTGCGACTTGAATTAACCAAAATGTAATCAGGAATTAGTGCTTTTATAATTATTATATACAATATGAAAGTGCAGAGTATGAATCTACATTTTGATTTTCAAGAGGACTGTTTAAATCTCTAAAACCCTGGTATAAATACACATATACTGTAAACATCACATGAAAACTGTTTTATGAAAAAAAGAGGACCATCATCTGATAATTTTTAAGCTAATTAGTAGGGGCCATTATGCTTGTATTTTGATTATAAATACGAGGGGGGGGGGGTAATACCAGGTAATTCTGTCCATAGGTGGAACTAAATCAGTAATACTGACGTCAAATCGCTTTACACTTGCAGGAGACAAATTTTCACGAAGTTTTGTAACAGTGAAAATATTTGTGTCAGATGCCATAAAATCCTTGTATCGCAAACATGTCTAGCAGTGAAAATTAAGCCAAAAGAAAAAAGATTTTGCTTTTCACTCTCACTCAAATTTATGGGATGACGTGGTTTTAATTTTGTTTTTTGTATTAGGATTATTTATTACCAGAACATTTTACATAATACTCTTCAATATATGCATTGATTTAAATCGACAAAATATTCTTTGAAACTGAAATAACTAGTAAAATGTTAAAAATCAAAGAAAAACACAGTGAAATCAAATAAAAAAAAAATATTTGGTGTGTTTATGTATGGCATTGAGATGTACATGCGTACCAACACCAAGTAAATTGGACAGAGCATATCAAAGTTAAGAGCTGTGAAAGGACACATGGACTTTGTCCGCGAAGGCTAAAAACATTTCCTTATTCTACCATATGTGGTACATGAAATTACAACAACAAAATGTGCAGGTTACAACCTGACATGCATGATACCGAGAAACAAAATCTATTTTTGTTTTTTGCCCTTACTTTTCATCATCTATTTGTATATACACAGCATGTATAATTAGAATTAATTATTAATATTCATACATTGAGTAATTAAATTAATTGACTATTTTTGTCATTCTAGTGACTGTATTTTTTCAATACACATGGTGCAATATTTAAAAAAAAAAATTAGTAAAATCTCACACGTCTATCTGAACTGTTATGTACAATGTAAAACTAATGTCTGATTTCTACCAGTTCTGATATTGTCTTTGGTCATCCCTCTCCTAACCCATACACCAGACACCCTAGTATTTCTTTCATTCTGGATGTCACAGTACATGCGCTAAACATTTTTGTTTATGCACCATATGTTTTGGTTTAGGGATTGACAATTTGAAACTCTGGGAAAGAGGGAGAAAAAACAATCAGCATGGAAACAAATTATGAAAAAAAATTATCCTGGATAATCTAGAGCAATAAAAATCCTAAAAATGTTCGATTGCAGGAGTAAAGCAAGGAAGATTACTACTGCATCGCAGTTTTTAATAGTCAACCCCTTTTGCTGCAAAGTGACATTTTTTGGGTAAAATATCATTCATAAATGTATTTATCAATTAACAATATCTTGTATAGTTTCAGCCTCAATGTTGAGTACCAGTAGTAGTACCACAGATACGTGCCATCTTGGATTTCAGAATAATTTTCCCATGAGCCTTTGATTCCATTGTATTAGACATGTGATTATCATACATCTCATGATTGGTTAAATTTTAGAGCTTATTTTTTCATCCATTATTGTGTGGCTTTACTGAATTAAAGCATGACTTTATTTTATACCAAGTTTAATATTGTTTTTTTATTAATCAATGCTTACCCCCCGGTAGGTTTGAATGTTACATGGAATGAGCAGTTTTTCTGTTCTGGACTGCGTACACACCTGTATACTTCAGCTGACAACTAACGTTAGGCTAAAAAATTGTTTCAACTCTTAAAGCATTTCAATCTTACTCAGATTTTGCATGCTGACTCTATCTTTTTATGGTAAAACTGGTTAGTTGCCACCGAGGGTGCTCATTCACCTGTTATGAGATGCATGCTGAACAAAATCTTCACATAAAAAAAAATGTCTTGTATATGTACATCGTCATTATTATGAAAATTTCATTTGCAAAATGCTCCAGCATGGACCGCAAGATCAAATAATATAATAAAAAGATTTACCTTCCTTTACCCTATCATTATTTTCAAACTTTTTATTTAGCCTTACCATCAGTAAAAAATATTCAGTGTTCCTACCAGGAAAAAGCTGAAGCACAAGATCTAGGAATCTTGGACACTAAGTACTGCAAAAGCAATAATTTTAACTGGTATTTAAAATCTATTTTGAGTACACTGAATTCAAACTAATGAAATTTCAGAGAAACAATGTGTCCTATTGTAGTTTTACATGACAATTTAATTTAGCAAATTTCACTCGTCTGAGTGAGTTCAACCCCATGAATAATTAATGCAATGTAACAATGTAAAGCTACAAAGATGGTAAATCTAAGGCGGTACTGCCCACTATTTCAGGATAACAGTGCAAGGATGCAAATGTTTATGCAAACTGTGTTATAGTTCAATTTGTTATCCCATAGTTTAATTTTGTCAGTAAATCAGCAATTTGTTGCAAGACAGAATGGGAGAAATGGTGCCTAGTTTGGGTGTAAAATTATGTTTCATTTGAAGGTGTGCAAAGATGGGTCAATTTCAAGTGTTCACACTAACTAGGTTGAGTAGACAACATTTGTGAAAATGAACGTAAAAAAAATGTTCAAGGCATTTTATTTGAACAACTGGGAACCATATTTCTTCATAGGAAGATTCTATACAGGCAACATCTATTCATAATTTTACTGTGTGTGTTTTAATCTTATTATTGATTATAAAATACTGTAACGTCTCATTGCAAACAATTAAGCTGATTGGTCAGAAAAGTCACATGACATTACACATTAACATATAATGCAGTATGCTGTTACAATTGTGTATTTAATTTATTAAAGTGTGTTGTTCGTTTGGACATGTGTTCAATATGGGTCCAATGCAATGTACACAACGCATGTAAAATACAGCGTCTGTTCACACAAAATATGAACATTTGCTGTGCTATGACAACTGCTCGTTAATGTTGCAGCTGATTGTGAAATCTAAGTCAATGATGCTTGAATTCTTCCCCCTTGCGGCGTTATTCAAACAAAGTGAATCTTGCTAGGATGTTATGAAAAAAAGCAGTCCTGAGTCTTGTAGCTGTGTTGTTACACTATATTATTTATTAAATTTATACTTTAGAAATATAAAAATTCATTAAAAAATTGTTGAACCTAAATTTGTCACCGTGGTGTTAATTAATTGTACATTTTTCGGCATCATTATCACTGATTATTCGTGCCTTTTAAATTCATGACAATGTATATGTATGTAAAACTTCACAATAATGGTCACATGACAGCCATGTTACAGAAGGTATACCGGTAGTTTGTTTAACAACTTCTTAGTTTTAGTCCACATGGTGGCGTAATTTCTTCCCGAGATGAACAGTGTCCTTGTATTTGCTGCAGTCGTTCAGTCTCTCGAACGCTGGGTAGTCGATGACTTGGAATTAAATGCTGGGTACTCCTCAGTTCAATTCGTAGTGGTGATGTATCCAAAATCTGTTTCCCACTTTCTGAGTAGCTGCCTCCATGGGCCGGTCTTGATAGCCGTGCAACCATTTTTCGTGGTGCTATTCCACCTGTTGATCTACGAACTGTTTGTCTTGTCCTCGTCATGGCAATAAGTGTTTATACAGAAACCTGTAAATACACAAATATTCAACTGAAAAATATGAATTGGAAGGATCTGTTGGGAATCCTAAATGGTGATCAAAATCCTACTTTGAAAGAGCACACAGAAAACTAAATTTATGTAAATCAGTGAGTTGTTTTCACCACCAGACTTTCTCGACCAAATTTCTCAGCATTTTTTTTTCTCATATATTCTGGAAATGAACCTTAATTTTAGAGACAAAAATTTTTTAAGTTTTTACTCAAAAATCTCCAAAAATAATGTGCAGACTATAATCAGGACTATTTTGTGAATTTGTGATGAAAAGAGGGAACTGATGGTGAAAAGGTTAACAAGTGGTCTTGAAATGCGTATATTGAAGAAAAAAGAAAAGTGTAAAGTGAAAGAAAATTTTGAATGCATGTGTACTATAAAAAATTCCTCCTCGTTTTCAAGTGGTTAATTTTAATAATCTGTTTCAACTTAAGGGGTAGGGGATTCCTTAGTTGATTGCAGTAGAAAAAGTTTGCTCACTAAATTTTATTTTTGTTTTGATGGATACATTGAATTTTGGAAGTTCAAAAAACCCATATCCAAAAAAAGTAACCTTGACAACAATACACTACATGATAAAATAAAGTCGCATTTTACATAATTCTTAAAATTTCAGCAGCAGGTTTTGAAGACCTTGAGGTCTCACCACATCACTGAAATAAATTGGGAAAAACGATGTCAGCTGGTTATGTCAATCTGATTAAAATCTGATGTATTGTACGGCGTGAAATTAATTTAATTTTCATTATTATGTAATTTTTTGTATCATTATTACTTGCATCTTATTTTGTATTACTTTAACTATCACCATATACTGGCTTTCACGGTTTCAAAAATCTTGAATCTATGTTCTTTGTTGGCTTAATATTGCTCAATTTAATTTTTAGGATGTGAATGTTTGTAATTTTTTTCCTGATTTGTAGTAAATATTGGTGAATTGATTGAAATTTATTTTATTATCACAGCTGACTGTGTCCATAACGATAGAAAAATGTTACCATGTTGTGAAAAAAAAATCAGTAATGTGCAATGTTAATAATTCATGGACATTTGAAAGAATAATCAGCCATATTCTATTAAAACAGGATTTGCAAATGAATTCAGAGGACCATGAAATTCTGCAGTCTAACACGTGAGGTGACAAATAATTAAAAAAAATAAAAATTACAAAAAAAAAATGTATTGTATGCCAAAACTGTACGGTTTGAAGTTTTTACCATTTTAATAAATTCTATTGTATATTTACTATACTGGGGTATTTGTTATTATCTTGTATTTTTTTTCTTACAGACATCTAATTTTTGGCTATATGTTTGATTACAAATCAATAGTTGGATGTCTCTCAACTGCTTTTGCAATTTTATAGTCAAGTTTGCAAAATTCCATAATTTTTATTAACCACTACTTGTGGAAAGTGGTTTACAGTATTTGTCAATAAGCGGATACTCGTATTATTTTTGTGTAAGCCGTTACCAAGTAGGTAAATGGTAGCTTAAAAATCAAATGCAAAACAACATATATTTAGATTCTGCTTCTATTTCGCAAAAAAACAACAATATAGGTTGAGCCGGTGCCAGTACATGCAATTTCCAACCTAGAACCCCCTCCCATTTATAATGGTCCATCCCTAAAGCTATTGGTGTCATGCTTAATTTGCATATATACATTATCACCAGCCTTGTAATAATAGTATTACAGTGATATAATTATTGAAAACCAACTCGCCTTAGATCTTGCCCAGGGGATTTTAATGCGAAACTTAAAATAACAAAACACTAAAAATGTGCCATTTTTCAGAAATTTTAATTTCCCTATATGGAAAAGAAAAAAAATGCATCTCAAGTTACAAGCTGGCGTGACTAGGACCCGGTGTCGAAAGTAATGTTTTAAAACTGCAACATTCAATTACAATGTTAATAAAAATTCAAAAAGTGACACAGCAGTTACTTGTTATGCCGTCTCTCGCACATTTACATGCAATCCGGTATTAATCAAATTCAAACGCCTGTTGTGGTCACGTGATGCAGCAACAATTAGCATATTGAGGTCACCTTGGGCCTTTGATTATATCGAAACTGGATGCGATTCATAATCAGCCGTGTCTTGACAAAAGTGTGGAAACGAAGGTCGACAATTATTAACACTCACAAACAAAACACAAAGTGAGCAGTGACAGAAAGCTTGCAACTGTGGATGTGCGCCTACCAAGTCCACGGCGTCCACCACAGACTGAGACACCCATTTTTTTTGTCGAGTTGAGCTACATGCAGATAACATCAAAATTAGTGAAAATACCTGTATTTGAATTCTTCCGGTGTTGACTTCTTGAATAGATAGCGCCAGAACAGTTCTCAATAATCAACTACATACCTCCAGGTATACGGTGACATTCAAAATGGTGGATATATAAACGAAACCCCAAAACTGTAAACAAATGCGGTGGCGCTCCAACGACCGGAATTTCGTCATTTCTTTAAATATACTTTCGACAAGTCCATACAAGCTCTTAATAATATACAGTAATTTTCTCTGCTTTATTTGATCAAACGTTTCAATTATACGAATCTAGAATCAGTTGTAATAAAAAGGGGGCAAGGATTTGTTGACAGTTTGTTGTGGCCACCACAGTTAGAAATTACAAAACAATCGAACACTTCGTCGCACTGGGCGTCCTCCACCATTTTGGCGCCGTTTTTCAATCTATTCGGGCCGATCGTAACACGTCAATACTTGAAAACATGCAATTTTCCCCCGAAATTCCCGCCATTTCCAGCTAACTAACGCAAATGCTGTTTGGAATGTTATCGTGTAAGGTTGACTATAAAGATCGACATTGGAGGGCAAACAAACACAATAAATAAACTGCCATTTTATGATTAACACTTGAACATGTTATCTAAACATATCTCAGCTTTATGTTTCTCATCAAGATCCAGCATCAAAAATAAATACTCCGGGAAAAAAAAAAGTTAACAGTAATACACAAATAACTGTTCTATAGGGGTGGGTGGGGCGAGAGTCCTTGCATACAACCCTGCCACAAATAACACAATACAACCAATCATTTGATCTTTTCTGAGGATTTTATTTAATCTATTCAGTATAAAAACTTGATTAGGCTACTTTCCATCCGAAACACTGAGTATATTTCATTGCATAATATAAACAGCTGTGTTTTTTTTCTCTATCAGTACAATTGAAACATATATAATCTATATTGTATTCTTGAAGTTCGAGTTCATTCGTCATCAGCTTGTTGATACATTGAATGAATGGATAGCCAGCAATTCTAATTCTAGCAATAATTCAATCTTGAAATAAGATGAGCAATATGTGTATATTTATAATTTTTGTTTCCAGTGAGGTAATCATTTTTTTTCAATTCATCTAAAAAAAGCAAAACTGTAAGGAAAATGTAGTAGCCTAATGTACAGACAAAATTGTATTAATAATATAAGACTGAAAAATATTGATCTGTTCTTAAAATAAACAGAAATGGAATGGATGTGTACATGCGAAACTACAACAAAACAAGCAAACTTACTAACAACAAAATTTAAATAACTTCCCTAGACAGTAGGCATAGAGGAGACCTTTCAAGTTGATAATAAACAGAAAATAATAATCTTTGCTCCTTGATTAATTATAAATGTTTATTTAATTCAGTCATCACTGTTTCCTAGTAACTGCTTCCTTGGTGACTCCACTCTTCATTTTTGTGTTGTTATCCAGTACAGACAGTGTTGCATTGGAATGTTGATTTGCTATAATGTATTGTTGTTTATTAGGAAATGTTCTCAACAACTGATCTCATCTAAACCTCCTGTATGCGAGTTGGAAAAGTCCTTTTAAAAATAAATTACTTCTTCTTTCCCTGAAAAATAAAATAAATAAAAACATCAGTCAGACAAGGTATGTTCCATCACATTTCCATATCGTGCTACAAAGTTCAACAATTATAAGTTGTGTGACCTCATCACGAAATGCATTTATTTTTTTTAAAAATTTTATCAAAGAAATTGACCCATGTATATGATTAAGACATAATAATAATAATAATATTTGTAAAACAACATCTTGGAAATGAATTTGACACTGTGTGACTGACCATACACACTTTAGATCAAAGAGTCTATGGTACAACTATTACTATGTGTAACGCACGTACTGAACAATTGAACATATGGACGTGCAAACACACAGAAACATTTCCTGTTCACAAAAAACCTGTGCGCACATTAAAGCTTGCAAAATGAAATTTACTACAAATAGTCAGAACAAGGACATAATACTGCTGGACAGTGATGAAGCTGTAGCACCACTAACGATTCCAGTTCCAACCTTGACCGCCTTTTGTTGTTGTGGATCGGATTTAATTGATCAACTCTTACCTTTCCCTTTGCCGCCTTCTTTTTCTGCAATCTCTTTGCGGGCTTCTTTGCCTTTGCTTTGGGTTTTGGCTTCGCTGCCTTCGGCTTGGCAGCTTTTTTCGCTGCGGCTTTTTTGTTTGTTTTGTCTTGGCCATCTTCTATCAGCGGGAGTCTAATAATTATTGACGATGACAAGGAAGAACAAAGAAAAAAAAAAGGTCAACATATATGAACGAAAATTTTCTGTATTTTGGGCGGTCACTTATTAAGAATCAAAACGTTAATTATTTCATATAACATAATTTGAGTAGTATTTTGAATAAACTCATTTATTAAAGATAATATTATACGCCTGCTCTCACAATATTACCACCCCCTCTAATGTTGCTTTCTTCAGAGTTTTCGGAAGTGGTTGACACCCTAAACAAAGCATAACGGCAACCGGTTCGAAAAAAATGGACATTTCGCAAGATGTAAAATTAACTGGAATATCATGTTGGGTTTAGTCCAAAACAAAGACAGTTGTGACCGGAAGGCGATATGAATGAACATCAAGAATGAACATCTCTGGACAATACGATGACATGGAATACTATGCATATTTTAGCGACGTCAAAAACCAAACAATTTGAATTCAGAAACTCGTTGGCAAATTTGCGCTCAAATTATAGTATAAGAAATATGGAATGTTTATGGGGTTAACAGGCGTGAATTGAAATGAATGTACGCGTCTTACAAAGAGTAAAATACACATAGATGTTAAATATTAAATTCCATACAAAACAATTTGAAAAAACTACCTGGTTACAGTCGCTTTTTTAGGTAGAAACTGTTAACGGCTTCTATCGTGCAGCGCAAATGATGGCGTCGTGTTTATACACAAAGCTTTGTACACAAGGTCAAGAGGTGTGGCTACCAGTTATTGACGGATAATTCTGACACACCATTGGTCACTTATCTCCCGCGATTGTTTATTTGGGTTCAAAATGAAATAAATTAATAGATAATGAGCGTCACCCGATGAATGGCATGGCTCCTCGTAGGAATACTCCGTGAAAATGACGGTTATGCCTGCATATGGAGGCTGTGCACAAG